TTTACTGCAGAAGGGAGACACGATAACTAAAAGTCAGCAAATGAGAGAAGGCCTGGCTGCTCCTAATCTTCCTATCATACTACAGAAAATCATACAAGTAGGCTGACCTTTAAGACAAACACTAAGTGGGACCCCTGGGTGGCTCAGCGGTTGAGTGTCTGCCTTCAGCTCAGGGCCTGATTCCAGAGACCTGGATGGAGTCTTGCACTGGGCTCCCTGGGTGGAGAATGCTTCTCCGTCTGTGTCTCTGCCTCTCTCTCTCACTCTCTCTCATGAATGAATGAATGAATGAATGAATAAATAAACTCTTTTTAAAAAAAGATGAACCCCAAGATTCTTGCCCACTTGTGTTCATACTCTGTATAATCCCCTCCTCTTGAGTTTGGGTGGAATCTGTGATTACACTAAAATGTTACTCCAGTGATTATATTCTATGTTCTATGAAAAACATGACAGGATTTTTAGATGCAGTTAAGGTCCACATTGGGTGACTTTAAATTACCCAAAAGGCAGTTTTGGGTGGACCTGACTTAATTAGATGAAAGCCCTTTAAAGAGGGCATGGAAAAAAACAAAAACAAACAAACAAACAAAAATGAATAAAGAGGGCATGGGCTCCTACTGGCCCTGGAGAAGCAAATGGCATGCTGTAAATTGCCTATGGAGATACCCAGTCTTAAGGAGTTGAAGCACAAGGAAATGAATTCAGCCAGCAACTTGAGAGAGAGTAGAAGTGGGTTTTTCCATGACTAAGCCTCCAGATAAGAATGTAGCCCAACTGACATCTTGATAGAAGACATGGAAGATCTTGAGCAGAAAATACAGCTAAGGAGTGCCCAGTCTTTTGACAAATGGAAATTAAGACATTATGCATGAATACTGTTTTAAGTCATTAGATTTCTGAAACTGTGTAGCATAGGGAACTAATACAGGAATGGTACATTCAGGTCTTTGTAGGCTCAGTGTAGGTTTGAATTTCTGTACTGGGACCCTTTGCTCTTTATGTCTCCTTCTTTTAACAGGATAAGCCTTGCCAATGGGAGAGGTATAGGCTGCTTAGCACTAGGTTGTGGAGAATTGGTGTACCAGCCATTTGTGATACAGACTTGGCAAAGCCTGTTACCCTATGCCTGGGGGACCTTGTGTTACAATTCCATATATTGCTATTTTTTCAAATTTAATTTGTTCAAGACTGACAAGAATTGTTAAATCTAAAAAGTAGTATATTTAGTGCATTCCCAAATATTTTCGGAATCCTTAAAATATTCTTATTTTACTATCTCTTTTTCAGATTCACATCTCATTCTTCACACAATTTGTTTTACATTTTCTATCCAATAATAAGCAGAAGCTATATGAATGAAGATTTATATACAATTATCTAAAGTAAGAAACAGAAGGCTTTGCTGATTTGTGTCTCCAGATGTTTTATGTCAGATGAAAACCATTATATAACGCCTTGCTAAATATAGTACACCCATGTGATTATCATCACTTCTCCAGGGGAATATTTCCTTCAGTGTTAAAAATATAAGCAAACCAGAAAACTAAAACTTCTGTGAGTCATGATTTTTTTTTGAAGATTTTATTTATTTATTTGAGAAAGACAGAGAGATAGCAAGAGACAGAGCATGAGCAGGGGGTAGAGGAGAAGCAGGCTCCCTGCTGAAATGGGAGCTTGATGGGGTTTGATCCCAAGACCCTGGGATCCATCATGACCTGAGCCGAAGGCAGATGCCTAGCCGACTGAACCGCCTAGTCACCCCTATGAGTCATGATTTCAATGTATAAACCTTAAAGTACAAATAGTAAGTCCACCTATTTCACTTATATAACTCAAAAAAAACAAATATAATTTAATTACACATAGTAATTATAATTTATACATGTTCTTTCAACTTAAATTATTTTATCATATTCCATGTCTATATTTCAAAGGTTTACTTACTTTAGATTTATTTTTTTTATTTTTTCTAATGTTCTCCTCATATATCCGAGATACTTCTTAATATTTTTTATCATGTCTAATGTGTCTGTAAAAGCATTTTCTTCTGTTGGTTTATTTTAGGACACATAAAATCTGTATTATATTGTCTCTTCTAAGTAAAGATTTATAGATTTGAAGGAAACTGAAATTATGCAATTATAATTTTAGGGAAATCCAGAAAATGATGAATAACTTGGTGAAAATATTTAGTTATTTCCCTAAGTCATGTTAACATGAGTTACTGTGTACCAATATTTACAGAATTGGCTATTTTTGAGGGCAGTCTTTAAGTCTTGTTCTGAATCAAGGAGGGCCATTTTTGCTGTTTTTTCTCCTGTTTCTTCCTGCTTAGTAGGCTCTCCTTAGCTTTGCTAACAAGGAACTACCAGCCTCTCAATCACTTGCCACTGCTTTGAGAGAATCCTTAGGGTAGAACTTGCCCAAAGTCAAGGCACTTGGGAATAGCTTCACACATCTCTTTAATTATGGCCTGCATTTCTCCTTGGGAAACATCTCTCAGCTCCTACTCCAGAGCTGGGTGTTGTGACAGGCACCCTCTCGTCTCAGAGTGATGTTTCTTGCTTTGTGAGCAGTGAGCTGGTCAGGAGCAGTAGTCTCTGCTAGAGGCTCGCTTTTTGGGTATGGAAACTCGACCATACAAATGAACTGAAGGGAGGGTGATTGGGACCTCTCTTTTCTTGGACTGCTGTATCTACTGCAGAGGCTTTGTTCTATTAGTGAGGGCTGCATGGAAGAAAGGAATCCCTGAAACGCTGAGTTGGGAGATGAGAAATGCTGTACCTTGTCTCCTCTGAGGAGATGCTGCTGCCCTGGGTGGAATCTGTGGGAAGACATTCTTGGTCACCCATTTAGAATGTAGTTTCCATCTTGTTGGTGAGAGTGAGGGACATGGCTCAAATGCTATAGACTCAGTTTCATGAGATTTAATAGATTTTCTTCAATATATGTTTCTTCATTTGTTGCATACCCTTTGGCCAATTTACAGAGATTTTAAATGGTTCCATTGCTCATCTATTTATTTATTTTTCTGATTTTCACCTGTTAATATTATTTCACTGGGGCAAGAATCCAGAGTCCCCTAAGCCATGATTCCAGAAGTCTTCTGTCTAAAAGATATTTTGAAAACACATTTTAAGTAAGCTTCAAAACTGAGATAAAATAAAGGAGACAGGAAACACTCTTTTGGCAGAGTAAAGAACCTAAGGAAAATTTCAAATGAGATTGAAAATACAGGACACATTTAAGGAATAACAAATAGTCCAGCTTTGTAGAAATGTTAGGAATGTAAGAGAGCATTGAAAGAAGAGCTGGGAAAGACTGTTCGGATTAATTTCTGCTGAAGAATATACAGGGATATATATTTAATTTTGTATACAATATACAATGTAGTAGGATCAATCACTTCAACATAGGACATTAACATTTTGCCAGGTAAGATATTGACAGTTCCCTTAAAAGATAGAAGACTAGATAAACACTTATTATAATTAAATATTTTAAAAAACACACATATTTATTTATGCTTCTGCATCCTATGAATACACATTAGCTATAAGCAATCATCCTCTTAAAAGTAGGTTGAAATTTTCAGTGTTATTTAAAGCTTGACAGGAAGCAGGTTATGAAATTAAATCTCAAAGACAGCTCATTGTCATGATGTGTGTTAAATTTCCTAGTGAATAATACTCTTCTTTAAAATTGTTTTTCTCATTCACAAGTCTCATTCAACACATATAGGTGTAGTGTGTGGTGATGGTGGGTGGAAGAACCACTCTGTATGTCCTCTTGATCCAGGAGTAGAAAAGCCCACTTCTCCACTCATCAATCTATTTAATCCAGTGCCTTCTATTCTCATTTGGGAAGCCTCTGCTGAATTAAAGTTCTAATGGGACTTTAAGAGTAGATGTCTGCCTTACACCATAGCCTCTGAGTGTGTGATGTTCAATGAAGATCAGAAGAGGATAGGTGGCCAGTCTTCAGAAAATAAAGGAATGAAACAAGTAGGTGTTGGGCATTAAAGAGGGCATGTGACAAGATGAGCACTGGGTGTTATATTATATGTTGACATATTGAGTTTAAATAAAATAAAAGTAAAAAATAAAGGAATAAAACATTCTCATGAGTGATTTTTTTTCCGCAGAAAAACACCATTAAGCATTAGACACAACTAAATATATGCATTGCAGAGTTAACTTTTAGCACTATGGTTGACAGTGATGCACTTTTTCTCAGAAATAATTATTTAATCTGTTCACACCCTTTTGACGTGTATCTCTTGTGTGAGTAGTGATGACATTTCCCCTGACAAAGATTTAATGACTTCATACGAGAACATAAGAAAAAAAAGGACAAATAAAATGCCAGATTGTTTCCTGTGCTGTCACTGTTTTCTTTCCTTAATGTGCTTGCTGACAGCCAAAATTGAAAACATGCTGTTTCCTCAGCATCTGATGTTCACTAGATATTGCATGTCAGGGGCAGAGATCCTGTGACAGGTGAGGAGATCACCGCAAGGGAAATGGAAGAGGGAGAAAACATGCAAGGCCATGGTCACTTGTCCATTGCCAGGAAAATTGAGAAAACGATGCCCAGGATTATTCCTCTACCCTCTGACATGCAGCATGGCCTAAGAATCTCTCCAAACAGCTGCTACATCTTGTAGGAGGAAAGCACTTTCAAAGCACGAGAAGATTCAGATTTCTAATATAAGGAAGTGCTGAGGAGTTACTTCATTGTAAATTGACTGCAAAAAATAAATAGCCATTGCAGAACATGAGTGATTCTATATATGGGTTGGGTGAGCCATAAAGACAACTTTATAGAATTAGAATGAATCGAGATATATAAAGGCATGAAGTGGATACATGAACTTTCATTGATCTTTACTTGGACCACACATGAATTCATAGGATATTACAATTTTTGGAAATTTTTTGTGAAAAATGTTTTGAATAAAGACATATGTATTTTTGTTTATTTAAAGAACAATTACAGTGCTCACTTCAGCAGTACATATACTAAGATTGGAATGATAAAGAGAAGAATATCATGGCCCCTGCACAAGGATGACATGCAAATTGTGAAGTGTTCTGTGTCTTTAATGTATAATGCTAAGTGGAATAAGTCAGAGAAGGACAAATACCATATGATTTCACTCATGTGGAATTTAAGAAACACAATAAACCAGCAAAGGAGGGCGGGGGGAAAGAGAGAGAAAGACAGACCAAGAAACGGACTTTTAATTCTAGAGAACAAACTGATGGTTACCAGAGAGGAGTTTGGTGGTGGTGGGGGGGGGATGGGTGAAACAGGTGATAGGGATTAAAGGGGATACTTAACTGATGAGCACTGAGGAGTGTACAGAACTGTTGAATCACTATATTGTACACCTGAAACGAATATAACATTGTATGTTAACTATACTGAAATCAAAATCAAAAACTTTTTTAAAATTATACTATAAGTCTTGGAAATTTTTGTGGCAAATGTTTTCTTGAGTTTTGAATAAAGACTTACAGTAAAATAAAATACACTTAGTATGGGTAGTGGGAGATCTGATTACATGTTTGGGAACTGGGAAATGGAAAGTCTTGGTAGGGACGGCAAGAGGAAAAATTGTCTGCTAACATACAGTGTCAGGTCTAGACTGACACAAGGTGGCTCCAGGTATAAATAAACATAACATACCTACAAACAAAGTAATAAAATGAAGATAGAAAGAGGCAGAATGGGAAAGAATGTAACACAAACTAAAATGAAAACTGTTCCACCAATACCATGTTCCTGAATTTACTTAAGACAGAAGATACAGGGCAGCCCTGGTGGCTCAGCTGTTTAGCGCCGCCTTCAGCCCAGGGTGTGATCCTGGAGACCTGGAATCGAGTCCCATGTCGGGCTCGCTGCATGGAGCCTGTTTCTACCTCTGCCTGTGTCTCTGCCTCTCTCTCTGCTCTGTCTCTCTCTCTCTCTCTGATGAATAAATAAATAAAATCTTAAAAAAAAAGACAAAAGATACAAGCGTTTTGTTTTGTTTCTATTACAGAGAACAAGAACTAACTTACCTGAGTTCAGTGACAATTGTGGAATTGGAAATATCCTTCAATACCCAGATTTGCTCATCTAGATTGTTTACTATATATCTGCTGATTTATAACATGTGGAATCTATAATGATTATATATATGCATTATAGCACGTAATCTATATGTATAGTATATACATACATCTATGAAAATATGTGTATCTATAATTTTAAGTAAATATATTTTATAGGGCCATTGATCAATTTTATTTTTTATTTTTGTTTATTTTCAATTTTATTTCTTAATGGGATATGATCAAATATGGTTTGAAGACGAAAGTTGCATAGATAATTTAGTAAATGCACAAGGATAATGATGCTTTTAAAATTATTCAACATCTAAAAATGACTTTCAGTGTTCTTCACATGAAAATGGTCATTTTGAACATTATAGATAAACAACCTTCTCCCTTGAGTTTTGCCTAAAGCTTTGAAGATACATTTCTTTCCTGTTGTGTGTGAGAAGGTGGATCGAGGATCCGCCCTGGGCTGAAGGCGGCACTAAACCATGGAGCCACCCGGCTACCCTACCTGTAGTTTTCCTATTTAATGTTTTTGGTCAAGCATGAAACTTTCAGAATTGTGTCCTTTTAAATTTGTGAGACAAAATTGAAAATGTAATTTTTGATTAGTGTTTCTGAACAATTTGTATTTTTCCTTATATAGTAGGAATGAATCTCTACTGGTCAAAGTTAGGAAAATCCCTAATAATAGCCAACAGTTACTTAGAGGCCATTGTATTGTAGACATTGTGCTAGATTCTTTTTAAATATTATCTCTAATTCTCAAATTAGAATTGCTCTTTGCTTTATTATGTAAATGAGTATTCAAATTCACATCATCAATCAACTTAATACCCACATCTTGTGTCCCTGAAAACCATTCATTTTCTCCTTCCCTCCAGCTTTACTGAGATATAATTAACATATAGTATTGTGTGAGTTTAAGATATACGATGTGTTGACTTGATACACTTATATAATATGGAATGATAATCACCATAGCGTTGGTTAATACCTCCATTATGTCACAATGATCATTTCTTTTCTGTAATAAGAACATTTAAGTACTACTCTTTTAGCAACTTTCAAGTTTATAATGCAGTATTGTTCATTGTAAGCAACATGCTGTACATTAGATCCCTAGAACTTATTTCTCATATAACTGGAAGATTGTACTTTTTGGTCAATAATCAACAATCCCCATTCCCTTCACCCTCCATCCCCTGCCAACCACGATTCTACTCTCTGTTTCTATGAGTTTGGCTTTTTTAAAAAAATTATACATATAAGTGAGGTCATACAGTGTTTGTCTGGCTTATTTAATTTAGTATAATGCCCTCAAAGTCTATCCATCATGTTGCAAATGGTGGGATTTCCTTCTTCTGGCTAAAAGATATATACCACATTTTCTTTGTCCATTCATTCATAGATAGACACTTAGTTTGTTTCCCTATCTTGGCCATTGTGTGCAATGAACATGGGATTGCAGGTATCTCTTTAAGATCCTGATTTCACTTCATTTGGATTTATATTCAGAATTGAAATTGTTGGATCATAGGGTAGTCCTATTTTTATTTTTTTTTTTGAGGGACTTCCATACTATTTTCCACGGTGGCTGTACCAGCTCACATTTCCGTCAACAATCTGCAAGGCTTTCCTCTTGGCCACCTCCTTGCCAACACTGACCACTAGTCTTTTTGATAATAGTTATCTCAAATGATATGGGATGATATCTCATTGTGGTTTTGATTTGCATTTCCCTGATGAGTAATGATGTTTAATATTTTTTCATGTATCTGTTAGCCATTTGGATGTTTTTCTTAAAAAATGTCTATTCAGTTCATCTGCCCATTTTTTAATCAAATTTTGTTATCATTAAATTGAATGAATTACTTGTATATTTTGAATATTAATTGTTTTATCAGGGACACTATGCATTTTGTATTAATATCAGATGGCTAGTGTTAAGTTGTTACCTTTACCATTTCTCCACTATACAAATATTTTCTCTGTTCTTTCATCTATTCCTTTCACTCATTCCCCTATCCTACATATCTTTTTTCCAGTAAATATTCATAAAGCATCTATTTCCACCCATTCTAACACAGTAGCTCCTGGCTACATATGACTACTACGCCCTTGAAGTGTGGCCAGTCTACATCCTAAGGTGCCACAAATGTAATACATGCATACTGCATTTTAATGAGTTAATATGAATTTAGAATTTGAGCTATAACATTAATGCTATAACATTTTAAAATACTAAAATCCAAATGCTCCAGGTCAATGTTTTTCAGACATGAAATCATTTTTTGCCCCCTCTCTCCTTTCCTTCATCCATTCCTTGCAATTAAAAAAAAAACAGACTTGTAAGGTAGTTGTAAGAAATAATACAGAGACACAGCATGTGCCCTTTATACAGATTCCCATAATAGTGACATCTTAATAAACTCTGGCACAATATCACAGCCAGGGTATTGACTTTGACACGGTCAAGATACTGTATCACAATAATGATTTTGTCCTCTTTGGACACATCTACTTGCCTTCCTATGCTCTCATGCTTCATTCCTGACAACTACTAGCTTGTTCTCTATTGCTATAATTTGTTATTTCAAAAGCATTATATAAACAGCATTGTAGATGAATGAATTAATGAATGGCGTTGTACAATATGTAACTTTTTGCGATTGGTTTTTTTCACTACATATAATCCTCTGGAGATTATGCCAGGTTGTTGCATGTATCAACAGCTTATTCCTTTTATCATTAAATTGAATTCCACGCTATGGATATATCAGTTCATTTAGCCATTCAGTTGTTCATGTATATCTGAATTATTTCAAATTTTGCTGTTATTATAAAACTCATAAACATTCCTGAGCAGGATTTTTTTTGTGGGTTTTTTTTTTTGAAGATTTTATTTATTTATTCATGAGAGACACAGAGAGAAGACAGAGACATAGGCAGAGGGAGAAGCAGGCTCCCCGCAGGTAGCCCAATGGGGACTCGATCCTGGGACTCTGGGATCATGCACTGAGCTGAAGGCAGACACTCAACCGCTGAGCCACCCAGGCGTCCCCTGAACAGGATTTTGTGTGAACATACCCATTTCTCTCAGATAAATGAGGAGTACAATTGCTGTGCTATGATGGTAAGTACATGTTTTAGTGTAACAAACAGAGCCTACCTAACTATTTTCAGGGAGGATTGTTCCACATTATATACCCAAGAGCAAGATAACGAGTTATCTAATTTTCACACATCCTCAACACTTAAAGTTGTCATGATTTTCTTTTTTCTTTTTACCATACAGATAGGTATATAGTTCTCTCTCATTGTGGTCCTAATTTTCATTTCCCAAATGTTTAATGATATATAACATCTTTTCCTGTGCTAATTTGCCATCTGTTTATCCTCTTCCATAAAATGTTTGTCTTTTGCTCATATTCAAATTGGATTTTTTTTTTTTACTATTGGGTGTTGAGGATTCTTTATATATTTTAGATACAAGTCTGTTGCTAGGTATGTGGTTTGCAAATATTTTATCCCACTCTGCAACTTCTCTTTTTATCTTCCTAATGGCATATTTTGAAGACCAAAACATTAAGTTTTGATGGAGTCCAATTTGTCAATTTTTCCTGTAATGGATAATGCTTTTGGTGTCAGGTCTGAGATCTTTGCTTACTCCTAGATTTTCTCCTATATTAATATTTAAAATTTTAATCATTTTACATTTTTCATGTAAGTCCATGATCCATTTTGAGTTAATTTTTGAGTAACGTGGAAGACTTAGCTTCAGATAAAGGTTGATTGATTGATTTTTGACTCTAGAGTATTTGGTGCATACTGCTATGTCTTCTTGGTGGATTGACCCTTTTATCATTATGTAAGGTCTCTCTTGGTCTCTGGTAGTTTTATTTGCTTTGATCTACTTTATCTTGTATAATATAGCCACTTCTACTTTAATTAATATTTTTATGATATATCTTTTTTATACTTTTGTTTTCAAGCAAA